TCTGAAGCATAGGGAGGCAGTGAAGTCGGGCGAGAGTGGGGGAGATGGGGTCACGGAGTTTGGTGCAGAGTTCTGGATTATCTGCAGCCTGTGGGGGGAGGAGTTGGGAAGGCCGACACGCAGGGGGTTTGCAGTGGAGCCGGAGGTGATGAAGGCATGAACAGGAGTGTCAGTGGCCTGAGGGGTGAGGTAGTGGTGGAGTCGGGCGATGTTACGGAGGTGAGGGAAGGCAGAGCGGGTCATGGCCTGAATGTGGGAAAGAAAAGACCGTTGAGGGTCGAACAAGACACCCGGGTTCCTGACTGACTGGTGAGCTGTAGTGTACACCATGGAGGGCGATGCTGCCGGAGCCTGAGGTCCTGAGGCGCTGCCGTGAGCCAATCAGGAGGGCCTCAGTCTTGTTCACATTCAACTGTAGGAAGTTTGCCCTCATCCAGGACTTGATGTCCCACAGACAGTGTCAGGACAGCAGTGGCCCTGGAGTTGAGGGTGGGGGCAGAGAGATAGAGTTGGGTGTCATCGCGTACATGTGGAAGTTGACCCATGTCTGTGGATGATGTCCCGAGGGGAGCATGCAGATATTAAAGAGGAGACAAGGACAGAGCCCTGGGGGACGCCACACGTGACAGTGCGGGCGCTGGAGGAGAAACCGTTAGAGGGAACAAAATGGAGACGGTGAGAGAGATAGGATTCGATCCAGGCAAGGGCAGGTCAGTGAAGATTAAGTAAGGAGGAGAGGCGGCGTATGAGGATGGAGCAGTCGTCAGTATCGAAGGCGGCAGAGAGATCGAGGAGGACAAAGAGGCAGAGGGAGCCCTGATCACAGATGTTCAGAATATCATTAGTGACTTTGACCACGGCTGTTTCCGTAAAGTGTAAAGTGAATTGACTGTGTATTTTGTGGGTGAAACACGGCAGCCAATTGCACACAGCAGCGTCCCCACAAACCGTAGAGTGACCAAATAATTTTTTTAGGGGAAGCGGGGAAGGAGCTGAGCTGGAGCCTGTGTGGCCAGGATCGGGGTCTGGAATGCAGATCAGTCTGTGTCCTTCTGTATTGTCTGTTCTGCACTGTGAGTGTGACAGTGGCTGATGTGCTTCCAGGGAATCGGTTCTGGGGGAACGACAGACCTTTCCTGGGAGCGATTGTCCAGTGGGAAGAGCGAGGAGTTTGGTGAGAAGTGCTTCAAGATGCTCGTGGTTTGTGATAGGTGTAAAATCAGCATGTTAGTGTGAAACTGCATAATGTTGGCGCCTATAAACGTTGAATTGTTTCAAAGTGGCAACTAGGTCACTGCTGTGCGCTCTGGGACGCTATATAAATGCAAGTTGTTGTTGCTGTACTTTCAAGTGTATTGCATTTGATACAGCACCTTATTACATCATTGAGACATCTCAAAGCGCTTCGCACTACTGTAAAGTGAGTGACTGCATATTTTAGGGCGAAACATTGCAGCCAATTGCGCACAGTTTGTGTCCTACAAATAGTGGTTGATTGAGTGACTTTTTTTTACTCCTAATTTTCTTTTGGTGAGGGTTAATGGCCTCGGAAAGTGATCCGTCAATTGACTAACAGAAAGTGATCCGCCAAGTTCCTACTAACAGCGAGATAAACAGAGGCGCAAAGAAATGTGCGTAAGGTTCCCCGTCACCTATACATTACAGTAAATCCCATACAGACAGTTGGACATCTTCTCGATTTGAAAGGCACTACTGTACATCAAACACAAGGCTTATTTTTTAATCAAGAAAGCCGAAAATGACATTGGCGCCGAGTGTGGGTGAGAGTCTGGTCAGTTGGTGGATTTGGTGTGTGATAATCCTTTTGCAAATCCCGTAAATTAGACCTTGGTGTGTGGGCTCAGACTCGCTTTGGTGATTCACGGAGCTCTGACAACTTCAGAGAAGGGCATTACCTTAAAATTGGAGCCAGGCCAGTCAGGAGTGACAACACAAGGTAGTTTTTCACCCAAAGGGCAGTGGGAATCTGGAACTCTCTTCCCCCAAAAGGCCATTATGGGTGATTCCATTCACATTTTCAAGACTGAGGTGGACAGATATTTGTTTGGTCAGGGCATCGAGGGATATGGGGCAAAAGGGGGTAATTGGAGTTGAGGCGCAGTTCAGCCATTATCTAATAGAATGGCGGAACAGGTACGAGAGGCTGAATGGCCTCCTCCTGTTCCTATGACAACAACAACTTGCATTTAAAAATAATCCTTGCAATACAATCTTTGCATTTGTTATAGCTCCTTATCCCTTCTTTGAGATGTCCCAAAGCGTTTCACAGAATACACTGTAAAGTGAATTGATAGTAATATTTTGGGGGCGAAACACCACAGCCAATTGCGCACAGCAGCGTCCCACAAACAGGAAAAGTAATCCACCATTTGACCAACAACTGGGTTCCTACTTACTGTCAGGTAACTGTAAGGAAATTAGCCCAATGTTTCACCCAGAGAATCGAACCCAGGGCCTCTCGCTTGCGAAGCGAGTGCGCTAACCGCTATGTTGGGGCGGGGGGATGACAATCAGATGGGGGTACATTTGAAACACCACAGCTTCCATTGCTTATAACCTCAAAACATTTATTGTTCTCTGTGTAAACAATTCCTGGTACAGTTAATATATGACACAGAGACACCAGGCATCAGGGCTGCCTCGTCACATTACAGGGAAACGGCGCTGCCAGCAAACCCCACCCCTGCGAGCGCAGTGGGGAGCAGTGGGACTAGTGGTTTGGGGGTCTGAATTCTCCACTGCCCCCCCTACAGCACCCTCTGCATCAACCTCAGTAACTGTACATCACAGGAACAGGTAGCTCCAGGCTAACTGCCCATGTCACCCATACACACACACACACAGACACGAACAGAGAGAGAGAGAGAGAGAGCACAGGGACAGAACAGATCAACTGGTCTGAACAATCAATTTGTGGGGGTGTGGGGGGGGGTTAAATGGGTTAAATGCCACAGAGAAAGTCACATGACCTGCATGTGGCTTTTTTTTCTGGGTAGCGAATTATAGACTGCCCCCCCCCCGGAGCTAAGGAGAGACTGTCAGTGCCCCCCAGGGATGGGGCGGGGAGTGGGGGGCGGAGAGGTGGGGGTTTATTAATCTGGGAGCATCCTCTATTTTAGAGACAGAGCTGACAAGTCACTCAGTCACCAGTGTCCACCACCTCCCCCCCACCCACACACAATCGAGCAACAATAGCGAGCCCCCGGGCCCCCCAACACCACCCTGTTTTTATCTGAAGCCAAAGTGAAACTGTTCGGAAGGGACACAAGGTGAGGGAATGGTTAATAAAAATCCATTCAGAGCCAATCAGGAATGTCGCTGTAGATGTTCATCAGCAGAGCAGGGAGACAACTACCCCCCCTCCCCACCCAGGAGATCCACACGTGCCTGGACCAGGTGGCGGCCAAACTGTTCCCAAAGAGTGTTTGACCCAAGCAATGGTCAACTGAGAGCCTCACATCCCTCACTGGCCAGTGGCTGTGATTGAGGAGAGCCATGAGAGGGCAGGTGGGTTTGTACGAACACGACAGCTGCATAAATTGGCCATACATCCCCCCATCCCCCCACACCTGGAGCTCCCACCCTCCAGCACTGTGTACTGGCCGCAAAGGCTTCACCTCCCTCCCGGCGCCGCCACCCCACCAGCCCTCCCCCTCCACCAGCTCTCCCCCTCTATGATCACACATCTGCAACACCAGAATCTGATCTAGAAAAGCTGGAAGATAAGAAATCTAAACAGGGAGGGAGAGGGAGGGAGGGAGAGAGAGAAGGGGAGGGAGGGAGAGAGAGGGGGAGGGAGAGGGAGGGAGGGAGAGGGGAGGGAGAGAGAGGGGGAGGGGGAGAGAGAGAAGTAGGTAGGGAGGGAGAGAGACAGAGAGGGAGGGACGGAGGGAGGGAGGACTGGAGACCATACTTATGGGGTGGGAGAGAGCCCCCAACCATAGAGGGTGGACGGACATGTTGGCACAGTGTTGGTGTTGGTGCCAGGTTAGCTCAGAGAGACCAGGGCCCAGCACTGGCACCCAGGCCTGATGTCTATTCATTGCTCCAGTCTAGGCTTATACGATATAGGTGTGTATGTGTACATGACACAGGGTGATCAGACGTCCTTGCTCATAGGTCTGTCTATCTGAGATGCACAAACTGCCACGTCTTGTAGACGTTTACACATATTAACTCGGTGACAAAAATGTTCACTAAAACGCAATGAAAGATATCTCCTATAATAATAATAATAATCATAATGATCCTTGTATTTGATATAGCGCCTAATCACATATTCGAGACTCTCAAAGCGCTTCACGGAATATACTGTGTATTTTTGTAGGAGAAACAGGGCAGCCAATTGCGCACAGCAGCGTCCCACAAACCATCGTGGATTGAGTGACCAAATTATTCTTTTTGTAAGGGATTATTATCCCTGGAAAGCAATCCACCAATTGACTAACAACCAGGTTCCTACTTCCTGCTAGGTAACCAGGCGTGTGGAGTAAGGAAACTTGGTGCTTAACTAACATTTATCCTTTCCTGGGAATTGAATTGAACCCAGGTCCTCTCGCCTTCGCGGCGAGTGCTCTAACTACTAAACTCCAGGACTCCCCAAATAGCTGCACACTTTCTCCCAATATTGTCTTTTTAAAAAAAGAACATAATCAGTAATTAAAAACTGAGTAAGCAGTCTTGTTCACCTTGTGTGTGTGTGCCATCACCATGTGTGTGCGCCATCACCCTGTGTGTGCATGTGTGTGTGTGCCATCACCCTGTGTGTATGTGTGTGTGCCATCACCCTGTGTGTGTGTGTGTGCCATCACCCTGTGTGTGTGTGTGTGTGTGCCTTCACCCTGTGTGTGTGTGTGTGTGCCATCACCCTGTGTGTGTGTGTGCCTTCACCCTGTGTGTGTGTGTGTGTGTGTACCATCACCCTGTGTGTGTGTGCCTTCACCCTGTGTGTGTGTGTGTGTGTGTGTTCCATCACCCTGTGTGTGTGTGCCATCACCCTATGTGTGCATGTGTGTGTGTGTACATATGAACTTCTAAGGCCCTTAAATGTAAGGAGCGGGTTTGAGACTGTGGTGCCTGTGGAGTAAAGGTCACGTAACCCATTTGCAAGAGAGAAGCCCAGGCCCAGATGATGTGCGAGAGCTCAGGGCATGAGGACCCCGGCTTCTACTGAACCCCATAAATCCTGGGTCAGACTGTGTGGCCTCTCTCAGGAGCCAGGAATTACCATATAGACACTTGGACTTTCAGTCATATTAAAGTTCCACTAAAGTTTATCTGCTAAAGCTGCTCCCAGTTGCATGGATTAGGTGCTGAGTATCATCCTTCCAGCTCTAGTTCTTACTGGGGTTGGGGGGACGACGACATGAAGGGGTCACAGACTTGGTGGGGAGGGGGTGAAGGCGTCACAGACAGGGAGGGGGAGGGTGAAATCACTTTCCTGTGGTGGTCTCTGAAACCAGGACCCTTAGGGGGGCATCTCACTGGTAAAGGATCCTGGGAAGTGTGAGGGTCAGGGAGTGGTGGAGACCCCAGCTCAGACTCGCTGGAGAAATCAACAGCTGGAGCTGCTTCAACCCGATTGAGCCGCGGAGGCCGTCTGCAAACACACGTGTCCGGCCGGCCAACTGCTTTCCTGTGTCGTGTCGCCCACAGTGACCTCCTGCCCGCCCGCCTGCCCACCTTACTGGCTCTTTCCCGGCCTGGGCAAGAGGGGGAGGAGCTGAAACCAGGCTGTATTCCCAATCCGGAACGTTGTGTCTGACTGACCCGGCTGGTAGCACCATCAGTCCTAAAGTGTCCGTTATCCAGGTCAAAGTGCCGTTTGTCCCTCCCAAGAGGCAGGCACTGAGCTGGAACGTAGAGGGACAGAGTCCAGGCACTGGGCACGGGGTCAGCAGCACATCTTATGTCCCCGAATCTTTGTTTCCCTTCTTAGAAAGAAACTTCATTTTATTTCCTATTCGAAAAAAAAGAGAAATGTGTTACTGAGAAACCACTGGTCAAAAATACCTTCACAAGGTCAGTTCAGATGAAGAAATCCCTTCAGCCCATCCCATCTCATCCCCTCAGAAAACCCGCCCAGTCATCCCCATCACCGCATGAAGCTGTTTCTTAAATGAGTCCCAGTGTCTTGGCCTCAACCAGCCTTCCCCTGGTAGCACTGTTCCAGTCGTTCATTATCCTCCAGTCAAAGAAATACTTCCTGTTCTCTGTCCTGAAACTACCCTTATCACCTTGTAACCTGTGCCGGTTGTCCCAGGGACGCTTCTTCACACATAATAACATAAGAATTTGTTGAACGAAGACCAAGGTCCATCTAGTTTGCCTTCCACTGTCCTGGCAGTCGCTTAAGATGTTGTGCCCCAAACTGTATACTGTATCCTGAGATATTATTTTCTAGCAGAAATCTATTTAATTTGTTCGTGAAACAACACTTTCTGCTTCCACCGTCTCCCTGGAGCCTGTTCCATACGTTTCCTACTCGTTCACTGAAATAGTGTTTCCGCAGATTTGTTCTGAATTTACCTCCCTTTCAATCGTGGCCTCTGGTTCTACTGTTCAGTGTTTTTTTGGTGTCAGCCGGGTATCTGACATGTCTGGAAACTCATCACCGTACTTAAAGAATATCCAAACCAAGCTGAGAATTCCATGTTTCCCACCTACACATTTGGCCATGTGCGCCCATGGCTTCTCGTTTCATCATGAAGGTTTTGTGGTGAGTCACTTGGTCGAAAGCCGACTTTAAACTTAAAATAGTTCAAATACTGAGTGTGAGACACGGCCTGATACTCACCCAGGCCCTTCAGGAACTTGTTGACTCCACTGGGTCCACTTTCTGGAATCGTCTCTAAGTATTCTCCGGCTCGCACCTCAAACAGCCCTATGGCAACATACAGCCAGATCGTGAGCATCACTTCCGGTTCCCTCTCCTCTTCTCCCCCCCACCCCAAAAAAAAGTCAAGAGGCAAAATAGAGATAAACTGAACCAAGGGGTGAAACGTGTGATCTTTAAGTGATTTCAGGCGTCAACAAACCAGTTGAGAAACTTAATTTTTTGTCATATTGACCTTTCTGTTCTCTCCGCTCAGTGGGCTCCGGCCTACTCCACGTCCCCCTCCCATGGGACCGACCCCACCATTGGTGGTCGGGCCTTCAGTCTCTCTGCTCCCACCCTCTGGAACTCCATCCCGCAGTTCCTTCGCTCGCCCCTTCCTTTGCCTCCTTCAAGGCCCGACTCAAGATCCTCCTCTTTGACCGCGCCTTCAGCCCACCCTCCTACCCCACCCTCCTTACCCTCCACGCCTCCTGATCCCAACCCCCAGCTCGGGTTCAAACCCCTGACTGTCCAGCACCTTGGGACATCCTCCCGATATGAAGGCACTGTGTAAATGTCATTTGTTGTTGTTTCTTCAGCTGTGACTAAAGCTGAATGTAGATGTTAAAGTCAGGGTTACTGTCCGAGTTACCAGACCAGACCAGCACTAACCTTTGATCCCAGATTTCCGAAGCTCCCGGTCCTGGATGAAGCCGGCAAACATCTGGGCCTCCATGAACAGCTCCAGGAATTGGCGGACGCTCTTGGAGGTGTGGGACTTGCGGAAGGCGTCTCTCTGGAACACGCGCTCGCCCTTCTCGTTAATCGACATGTGCAATGAGTGGTGGCCCACGATCTCCACAAAGAACCTGACGAAGGCTTCTGAGATGAGTGTGCTCAGAGAGCAGGGGCCTGCGCAGGCAACCAAACACACGTTAGAGACGCAGTTTGTAAACACAATGCAATTGACATCTACACAACAGCCTTTGCATCGGGCGAACATCTCAAAAGCACGTTACCCCTTACACTTGAGCAGCCACGGTGTGGCGGGGGGGAGGGGGGGAGGTGAAGATGACCAATGAGAACAACTCGCATTTATATAGCGCCCCCTCGCACAGGCCACAGCACTTGACAGTGATGGAGCACACACCGAGCCGGGGGGAGGTGTGACCGTCACAATGGAAGAGGAAGGTTTTCAGATGTGATCTGAAGATGGGAAAGGAGGTGAGCTCTAAAAGTGGGGAGAGGAAGCAGGACAGAGGGTGCCTGGGATCCAGTTCCAGAGAACAGGGGTGGAATGGATGGAGGAACCTGAGCTCTTTCAGGGTCAACCACAGGAGCCATTTGCACATCAAGGTCCAATAAACAGCCACGAGAGGAACGGCTAATTTATCTGTTCACTCGCACACCAGGAGAAACGCTTTGCCAATAAGATCTTGAATTTTTCCAACCGCGCCTTGGGACGTCATCCTGATGTGAAAGGCACTAAACAAATGTAATTCTTTGCTGTTGTTCACCTGAACGGCCACGTAGGTTTGACTTCTCTCCTAAGTAGGGAAAACATCTCAAAGCGCTTTGCAAATGAACACGGAGTGAGAGCACAAGTTGGAGGAAGGAAGTGGCTGAAGGTGCTGTCGAAGAGATACAGATGGGTTTTGAATGCAGAGAGGGCAGGGGAGAGGCAAAGGGATTTCAGTAGCGAGTTCAAGAGCACACAGGCACTGCGCCAGGCTACACACTTTCTGGTAGGGGTCAGTTTTTAAGACACATAAAGTATCATTCGGAGGCTGCCATTTATAGGAACGACACTGCTCCATTAACTCTCTCAGTAACTCAGACATGAAGGATGGAATAATAATAATAATAATAATAATAATCCTGGTCTTTGATACAACAAGGTCATTAAGACGCCTCAAAGCGCTTCACAGAATATACTGTAAAGTGTAGTGACTGTGTATTTTGTGGATGAATCCACGTTTCGCCCACAAATATACAGTCAATTCATTTTATATATTCTGTATATTCCGTGAAGCGCTTTGAGAATTCTAGAAGACGTTAAAAGCACTAGATTAAATGCAAGGATTATTATTAATAATAATGCGGCAGCCAATTGCGCATAGCAATGTCCCACAAACAGTCGTGGATCGAGTGATCAATTTTTTTTGATATTTTATACTTATATTTCTTGCATTTGATACAGCCCCTTATCACGTCATTAAGAGGTCTCAAAGCGCTTCACAGAATATACTATAAAGTGAAACTTTCTTTTCTCCATAGATGCTGCCTGACCTGCTGAATGTTCCCAGCGTTTTTGTTATTCCATAAAGTGAATTGACTATATATTTGTGGCAGCCCAATTTAAATAAAAATAATAATAAATAATATGAAAAAGGTTTGGTTTCTACCGTCCTCTGCCTCTCCTTCTTCAGCCTGAGCCAGGATCTCGCTCCTCTGCTCCAGGATCAGCTCCAGTGCCGCCTGGAGTTTGCGCGGAAGAATGGAATCTTCATCATCCATCTGGGAAAGAATCGGGAGACATTCCCATGAGGGAGGTGAGACAGAAGGAAAAGTGAGTCCTGTAGCTTTGGGGTTAAGACACTTGCCTCGCAAGCGAGAGGACCTGGGATTGATTCCTGGGCGGGGTGAAACGTTGGGCAAGTTTCCCTACTCCACACGCCTCTGGATAGCAGTACGTAGGAACCTGGTTGTTAGTCAATTGACTGATTGCTTTTCTGGGGGTAACAATCCCTTCATAATTAAAAAAAGAATAGTAATTTGGTCCCTCAATCCACGACTGTTTGTGGACGCTGCTGTGCGCAATTGGCTGCGGCGTTTTGCCCACAAAATATACAGTCAATTCACTTTACAGTATATTCTGTGAAGCGCTTTGAGACGTCTCAATAAGGCACTATATCAAATGCTAAGATTATTATTACTATTATTATTCAGGGAGACAGACGATGGGGCAAGACAGCTTACAGCAAAGTGAGCTGCAGCAGCTCGTTTGTGCCACCAGAGGGGCACTCCGGCTTCTCAGCACGGCTGTGGTGTTGGTGTTCAGGTGTTGGGAGTGGAGTCGGCTGGACAGCAGTGAGGCTCCAGCGTAAAACTAAGTCAAACATAATACAACATTTTACATTTATAGAACGCCTTTCATGTCAGGAAAACATAATCAAAGTCTTCACAAAACTGACTCGGAGGCTGGGAGGTGGGGCGGGGGGCGGTTGGTGGGGGCAGGGAAGAAAAATAGTCAAATGCTATGTCTAAGTGATATTGCAAAGCTTGAGTGACCAATTTTTGAAAAATATATAAAAATTATTATTAAGTATTTTATATTTATATTCCTTGCATTTGCTATAGCGCCTTTCTGCCTTGTAACACGCTGTCATTCCATGGCCTCAACCAGGAGGTGGATGTCACAGTGGGCAGGAGGCCCGAGCGTCACTAACCATTAGTAAGAGAGTGGAGTCTTGGGCTCTGGTTAAGGAGACCCAATAATAATAATAATATAATAATAGCAATTTTTGCATTTGATAACGCGCCTTTTCACGTTTCTGAGATGTCTCAAAGCGCTTCACAGAATATACTGTAAAGTGTAGTGACTGTATATTTTGTGGGTGAAAAGTGGCAGCCAATTGCAAACAGCAGCGTCCCACAGTCATGGATTGATGTGGCCAAATTACTATTAACATTTTTTTAAAAGGAATTATTATCCCCGGAGTAACAACCGGGTTCCTACTTACTGCTCGGTAAACAGAGGCGTGTGGAGTAAGGAAACTTGCCCAACATTTCTCCGTGCCGCGATACACTGTAAAGTGGATTGACTATGTATTATGTGGGCGAAACTCGGCAGCAAATGACGTAAGGCAAAGTCCCACAAACAGATATGGAGTGAGTGACCAATTTTATTTGGGGGATTATTGGCCAGGACACCAGGAGAGAGAGAGAGAGGGATAGAGAGAGAGGGAAACTCCCTTCTGTTTTCGAATAGTGCCATGGGATCTTCAACATCTTTAAGTGAGATCTCGGCTTAATGTCTCATCCGAAGGATGGCATCTCCGACAATGCAACACGCCCCCAGCACAGCATTGGAGTGTCAGCTTAGACTATGTGAATTCAAGTGCCAATGTGGGGTTGAGCCCAGAATTTGGAGCGCTGGAGGCTTATATTGAGTATAAACATACAGACTAACGGCCTGTTTCGGGGCTGCAGATTTTATATAAATCCACATAAAATAGCACAATGTAGTTTGTGTCTGCACACAGTTTTGTTCTATGTGTGAAGTATCATTGCCGTTTTGGAGCACCACGTTTCAGGCTGTCCATCCACACACACATGTCACACACACACACACACACACACGTCACACACCCAAATCATGACATACTCACACACCTACACACACCATGTCATACACACACACATACACACGTCACACAAACACCTTATGTCTCACACACATCCACACACGTGCACACATACCCACACACCATGTCACACACACCATATCACATGCATGCATGCACACCATGTCTCTCACACACACACCATGTCACAAATACACCGTGTCACACATACACCGTGTCACAAATACACCGTGTCACAAATACACCGTGTCACAAATACACCGTGTCACAAATACACCGTGTCACACATACACACACACACGTCACACACCCAAATCATGACATACTCACACACCTACACACACCATGTCATACACACACACATACACATGTCACAAATACACCGTGTCACAAATACACCGTGTCACAAATACACCGTGTCAAAGCACAAACACACACACACACACCATGTCACACAGATACACCCTGTCACACACACACATACCTACACACAACCCTAGACAGCATCCAACAACAATTCACTAGATTATTTCCTGCGATTATTTCCCAACATGGAGAAATGTAATTGGAATGTAATTGAGAAAGTAAGACACCCAGCACCGAAGGTCCTGAGCCACAGAGAGCAACAAACTGAAGCCAGAGCTGATCTCTGTGGGTTACCAACGTGGGGGGAGCCGGAGGGGAACAGACTTCCTCCCTCAGTGCGGAGCTCGCTTGTCCTGCCCCACAGCAGGATTTAAACAAAAACAGTGCTTCCCACGTCTGGCAAAGAGTCAACTCTCCCTCCCTCCCTCCCTCTATTTCTCTCTCCCTCCCTCTCCCTCCTCCCACTTTCTCTTCTGCTTTCTCTCTCTCTCCCCTCTTTCTTTCGCCCCCTCTTTCTCTCTCTCCCCTTTCTCTTACACTCCCCACTCTCTCTCACTCTCCCCCCTCTTTCTTTCTCCTCCATTTGTTACTCTCCAACCCCACCCGCCCCCCTCCCCTCTCTCCCTCCTTCTTTAATAATAATAATAATAATAATAATCCTTGCATTTGATATAGCGCTTTTCACGTCTTCTCGACGTCCCAAAGCGCTTCACAGAATATGCTGTAAAGTGAATTGACTGTATATTTGTGGGCGAACACGGTAGCCAATTGCGCACAGCAATGTCCCACAAACTTTCTCTCGCCCTCTCAGACAAGACTGTGGGGGAAGACAATGTTTGCCTGATTTCCCCACTCACGTTCACGGTGTTACTCTTCACTCCTCCGCCCTATGTCTACACACTGGTCAGGACATAGTTGGGGCCAGTGGTTGCCTGGGGTGGGGGGGAGGGGGAGGTTGTAAGGGGAAGATTGTGTGGACCTTCCCCCTCTCCCCCTCCAATGCCCCCCTGCCCCGAGGCGAGGGTCTCTGATTGGTGAGCGCTGGGAGAGCAGCACCGAGGGTGTCAGCTGGTGACTCACCTGCCTCAGGAAACGGTCAGCGCACAGGTCCACAACCAACACCTGTAACACAGGGAGAGCAGCCAGCGGTCAGCGGGCAACAACACCCCTCCGCCCCCCCGCGCACCCCCCACACTGTCCCCATCCCGGCCGTTACCGGGGGGCTGTAATCTGTCCGCCAACATGGGAGCCACAGACTCCTCTTCTGCACAGACTCCCTACAGCACAGAAGGAGGCCATTCGGTCCATCGTGCCTGTGCCAGCTCTTTGAAAGAGCTGCCAACTAGTCCCGTCCCACGCTCTGACCCCCTCACGCCCAACCTCTGCAAACGTTTCCTTTTTAAGTCCTTATTTAATTCCCTTTTGAAAGTTATTATTGAATCTGTTTCCTCCCCCGCCTTGAGACAGCGCAGTCCAGACCATAACAACTCTCTGGACCGGACGCCTCTCACCCCAATAGCCACATTCGGACATACAGTGTTTAACGAGCACCGACACGACTCACCTCCTCGATGGGCAGGTCGTTGAGCAGAGTCATGGAGTTGGAGAGGATTCCGATGAGGAAAGGCGTGGGAGAGCACACAATGTCGATCATAGCCGCTGGCAGCACGGGGATGTAGGTGTGTTGCCAGGTGAATGGGTACAACATGGCCACAACAGCATGACCGCACTTGGAGAGAGTGCTGAAACCACAGACACCACACACACACACACAGACCCACACACAGACACACGCACAGACACACACAGACCCACACACAGACACATACCGACGCACACACACACAGACACACGCACAGACACACACACAGACACATACCGACGCACACACACACAGACCCACAGACAAACCCACGCACACACAGACCCAGACAGACCCACGCACAGACACACACACAGACCCACACACAGACACATACCGACGCACACACACAGAGACCCACAGACAAACCCATGCACACACAGACCCAGACAGACCCATGCACAGACACACACACACAGTCCCACACACACACACAGACCCACACACATCCAGAACCACACACACACACAGACCCACACACACACACACCATGTCACACACACACAAAAGGTAAAAATACTCCCTTCACACAGTGTTAAACGCTCCGAGACACTATCCCGCGAGAAGGCGCTACGGTCAACCTCACATAAGTCGTAACAGAACCATCATATAATGTGGGACACGGCTGTGGGCAATTGGCCGCTGCGTTTCACCAACAAAATATATAGTCAATTCACTTTACAGCCTATTCTGTGAAGCGCTTTGAGAGGTCTGGAAGACGAGATAAGGCGCTGTATTGTTATTATTAAAGGGAATGAACCTGCGGACTGTTGATGTTCTGGGACAGAAGCAGCTTAAAGGGGGAGATGTGACAATGAGTCTCGGGGGTCAGGAGTTACCCAGGATCAAGGGTCACTCCTGAATCACACTGACCCGGTGCACACCCCCACCCACCCCCCACTCCCCTCTCCCTCCTCCCTCGCCTGCCGATCGCAGTGAGTGTAATCACCTGAGTTTATCCGCAATGAAGATCACTCTTCGCTCCAGGAGGAGAGACGCGAAGACCTGGACCAGGTGCCGCACATTCAGACAACTCAGGAGACACTCGAAGTCCACGTGCTCCAGGCGGGAGTCAGAGGGACGGCAAAGCTCCATCACCTGCACACAAGAGTCTTATAACAGGCACAGCAACCCCAGGCCCCACTCACTGCCCCCTCCCCGTCACTACCCCTCCCCCCTCACCTCTCATTGCCCCCCCCTCACTACACCCTCCTCACCTCTCATTGCCCCCTATCACTACCCCTCCTCACCTCTCTCACTACCCCCCCCATACCTCTCACTGCTCCCCTCACTACCCCTCTCACCTCTCACTGCCCCCCTCACTACCTCCTCCTCACCTCTCTCTTCCCCCCTCCCCTTCCCCCCGTATATACCTGGTTAGTGGGGAGAGGTGAGACAGGAGGCAAAAAAATTCTATGGGATCCTTAAAGTCACCCCCACCCCACCCCAGCATCTCCCGCCCCAGGGAGGGGGGAGGCTCTTGCTCACAGACGGTGGTGGTGGGGGGCAGGGACTCGCTTGGGGGGGAGGGGGCAGAACTTTGTGCGTGACCGTGTGTGGCCACTCACCTCGTTTCCTGACCCCGGGAGGAAGTTCTTGATGGTGATGACCCGGCCGGGGGCAGGGAAGGGAGCCTCCATAACGCTGCGCATGAAGGGGTAAACCAGCGGCGGAGAGATCTTCCTCCTCTTCTCCACCTCGTCCAGAATCTGTTCAGGGGAAGAAGACGGGGTAAACAGGGGAGGGGTTTGGTGGGGGTCAACAAACAACAGGGTCTCAGCCTATCTGATCTTATCCTCCCACAACCTCCACCTGACAGTCATGTCACAGAATCTTAAAGGAATGTGGGAAAGGAGGAGGCCATTCAGACCCTTGAGCCTGTTCTGCCACTCTATAAGATCATGGCTCAACTCCAGTTACCCGCCCTTGCCCCGTATCTCCTGAAGTGACGAGTATCTGTTCACCTCAGTCTGATACCCTCTCCAGCCTCTGATTCACAAGTCACAGTCTGTAGAGCAACTACAGGGTGTAGAACCCTCCCCAAGCAAAGCCCCAGGTGGTCCCAGCTGCTCAAGCAGCAGGAAAGCTTGTCAGACAGTGCTCTCAATAGCAAGCCATGTGGTTGTAGCTGGTTAGACATCAGCAGTTACCCCAACACACACTCTGGGTCCCCCCCCAAGCCTTGGCCCTTGCCAACCTGCGCCTAATACTTTCCAGAATTAGGTAAGCAGGATGCCTCCCTCCAGGGAGAGAAAGAGCGCATTCCATTCCAACAACCTATCTCTGGGATTTCCGTGTGTAGGTGGAAGGCATGGAATTCTCAGCTTGGATTGGAGACTCATAAGCAACAGTGATGGGTTTCCACGTGTCAGACACCCGGCTGACAAAAAATAACTATTTTGTAGGCCAATGTGGACACTAACGGTGTCCTCCGATTAGCTATGTAGTGAGCCACCAATTTTATCCAGGGAACTGGGGAAGACGGGTTTGCAGGGTTATGGGGAGAAAGCTGGTGATTGGGGTTAGTGAAAGTGACGCTCTGTCAAAGAGCCGCACAGACTCGATGGGCCGAATGGCCTCCTTCTGTGCCGTAACATTCTATGAATCTATGAATCTATGAACTGTTGGCCAGGACACCGAGAGAAAGAGGGAGGAACTCCCTTCTCTTTTTCAATAGCGCTGTGGGATCTTTATCATACACCTGAACAGGTAGGCATGATTTTGTCTCATCCAAACAATCTCTGGGAGAATCCACCCCGCCCCATATCAAAGCTTATTTAAGATTATACGGTGGAGTGACTGGAGTGTTGAGAGCTCTCCCAGGAATGCTGTCTGCTCCTGGGGCAGTTTCTAGCCGGACAGACAGAGTAGCAGAGTTTCGCCCGGGCAGGGTGAAACCTTAGGCAAGTTTCCTTACTCCTCACGCCTGTTCACCAGCAGGAAGTAGGAACCCGCTTGTTAGTTGATTGGCGGATTGCTTTTTTTCCCTTCAAAAACGATCAATAGATTTTTAAAAAATAATATTTATTTGGTCACTCAATCCACGACTGTTTGCGGGACACTGTTTTTGCGCAATTGGCTGCTGCGTTTTGCCCACAAAATATACACATTGTTGTTTCACTTCCTGTGAAGCGGTTTGAGACGCCTCAAAAGAGGTGATAAGGCGCTGTATCAAACGCAAGGATTATTATTATTCAACCAAATCATTTGACTCTAATCAGCGGCTCCACCTTCCGCAAACTCCTCACTAGCCCCCGGCTCTGCCAAAGGAAATATTAATAAAGCTGCAGATAGAGAGGACATCTCGCCAGCAATAACAACCCCAACCAGCTCCACCTCCAGCCGCCAGCGGCCACTTCCTGCTCTTTCCCACTATAGCACTTCCGAGCTTTGTTTGACCAGGATGAGTCCAGAGTTTGGGATCTGAGCCAGGGCCGGGCGGCAGGGATCAGGGATCAGGTGGGGGTGGGGATTATTTTCTTCCCCCCACATCCCCTCCATCCCCTTCCCGCAAACGAACGAATGATGCTGTGCTCAGGAAGCAGAGGTGAAGTTGTTTATAGAGCAGATTCACCGGCCTGTCCTCCAACACAGTCAGTGACACGTCATACACTCTCCCCCACCACACACACCATGTCACACACACACACCATGACACACACACACACCATGACACACACACACACCATGTCACACACACACACTATGCCACACACACACACACACACCACACACACACACTATGCCACACACACACACACACACACCATGTCACACACACACACTATGCCCCACACACACACACACACACACACTATGCCACACACACACACCATGCCACACACACACACGTCACACACACCATGTCACACATACAAACACTGTCACACACACACACATCACACACACCATGCCACACACACACTCACCATGCCACACACACACAAACGTCACACACACGTCTCTTACACACACACGCCACACACGTCTCACACACACCATGTCACACACACACACACACACACGTCACACACACCATGTCACACAGACGTCACACACACCATATCAGATGAGGTACAGAGTAGCGATGCCCAAGTCTGTGCAGCTCTGAATCTGCGAGTCTCTTACCTTTGAGAAGAGGTAGAAGCAGCCAAGACGGCTGACAATACAGTAAACCTCTGGGAGCCGCTTGTCTCTCCCATTGGGCTGAAATGAAGGAGAGAAATCAGTAAATAGGAACCTGGTCGTTTATTTGGTCACTGTTTGGCTGCCGCGTTTTGCCCACAAATCATGCAGTCAATTCACTTTACAGTATATTCTGTGAAGAGCTTTGGGACGTCTTGAAGACGTGATTTTTTTCTTTTGAAGGGATCATTAACCCCGGAAAAGCGATTCGTTAATTGACTAACTTACTGATGGGTAAACAGAGGCATGTGGAGTAGGGAAACTTGCCCGGGAATCAAACCCAGATCCTCTCACTTGCGAGGCGAGTGCTCTAACCAGTGAGCTACAGGATACCACAAGTGCCAGGGTCAGCAGCCAAGGACTTACCAAGAGTTTGCGGCAGTACCCGAAGCGCCTGCTCCCGTCCTCCCCGGTCAGGACGAACGAGAAGGTTTCACTGTGGAGACAACGAGAGCGAAATTATGACTGGGACCATCTCACTGTGAGAACCAGGGCAACTCAGTCAGCCCCAGCCTCTACACCAACACATCAACAAAGCTCCCACTTAGTCCCTCTCTCCTCGTTACACATTCACCTTCGACCCATTTAATCTCTTTCTTACAAAAGATCCACCTGCTGTCTGCCCGATTCACCAACAAGACTTTTCATCACTCTCAAGTGTAGTGACTGTTTGTAGGCAAATGCAGCAGCCACTTTCAACACACCAATGTTCCACGAACAGCTTTGAAGTGAATGACCAATTGTTGGCCAGGACACCAGGAGAAACTCTCTACAATTAGTGACTAGGGATCTTTAAAGTCCATCTGAGCAGGCAGGATTTAGTTTTAACGTCTCATCCAAAGAACAGCGTATCTGACAATGCAGCAACCCCCACTGGAGTGTCAGCCAGACCCTGAGCTCAAAGTCCTGATGTGGGGTTTAACAATCTGACTCAGAGGCGAGAAGCTACCAATTGAGCCAGGCTGACATTGAGACTTGAACTCACAAGTTTCTGATCCAAGCTGTCAATTTGTGGTCCACTCTTAAAGTAACTTTAGATAGATATTTGTGAAGGTCAAATTTGCAAGGCTGTGGGGAGAGAGAGCGGGGCAGTGGGATTAATTTGGACAGCTCTTTCAAAGAGCCGGCACAAACACGATGGGCCGAATGGCCTCCTGTGCTGTATAATTCTATGATTCTAATTTACACTGTCAAACGTTTTACTGGTAATTGCTACGTTTCACAACAACAACAAAATTACAGTTACACAGTGCCTTTCACATTGGGAGGAGGTCCCAAGGCGCTGGAAGTCAAGGAAGGTGGGGAGTAGGAGGGTGGCTGAAGGCGCAGTCAAAGAGGAGGGACTTGAGACAGGCCTAGAAGGAGGCAAGGGAGGGAGCGAGGTGAAGGGACTGTAGGATGGAGTTCCAAAAAGTGGAAGCAGAGAAGCTGAAGGCCCGACCTCCGATGGTGGGGTAGGCCGGGCGGGGGACATGGCCTGCTGAGCGGAGGGAGCAGAAGGTCGGTATGAGTAAGAGGCCGGGAGGAGGAGCAAGGCCGTGGAGAGCTTTGAAAACGTAGCTTGACCAGAACTAAAGGCACAGACAGACCTGACGTACTCGGAGACTGGCACCCAGTCATCGGCATCAGGAAAGCAGAACTGTGGGATGGCTTTCAGTCTCTCCTCAGCATCGCGTGCTTGTCTGCTCGTCTTCTCTAACTGCACCAGAGAGATAACAAGAGCCGATCAACAAGACTGACCCACACGCACAGCAATATCCCCCCAGCGCACAGCTCCCCACGTGGCTGATATCAGCCTTAACCTCCTGAACTACACACATCCTGAAGAGAACTTCCATCCCAAACTCAACTTTTTTTCCCCTCAACATTTCAGAACCATTCGGACCATTTTTAAATCCGCTCTAAATAATAATAATAATAATAAAATAATAATGCTTATATTTGATAGAGCGCCTTTCGCCTCATCAGAAGGACACCTCAATACGCTTCATAGGATTTACTGTAAAGTGTAGTGACTGTGTATTCGTAGGCGAACCAGCAACTAATTTGCACACTGCAATGTCCCACAGGCAGCCATGAACTGAAGGGATTGTTGGCCGTGTTCTCTGGCTATCCTATGGTTCACATGGGCCGTGTGCCGTGCCCCTTGTCCTCAGTGTCTCAGCAACTCGCTGCCTTCCTAGAAGGCGAGGGGACGCTATCCTATTAACACCAAGCGCTCTGGGACGCTACCCCGCGTAAAGGGCACTTTGTCACAAGCTGTTGCTGTCGTCGAGCGAGATAAATTACAGCAAGGAACTGGGGAGAGAAACTCCTCTTCTATTTTTCCAATAGTCCCACAGGATCTTTAACATACGTTTGGAACCTTGGTTTAACATCTCATCTGAAGGTGATTTTGAAGCCATTTTTTTCTGTAGTTCATCAAAGATCCCACAGAAAACCAGCTTCAAAGCAAAGCAAAGCCCTTGTTTTAGAATTGTCCTGAATTTGCACGTTCTGAAAACGTGAAAATCCAGTTCCTGGCTGTAATTTATCTCCCTCCACGACAGCAACAACAACTTGTGTTTACATAGTGCCCTTTACACAGGTAGCGTCCCAGAGCGCTCGGTGCTAATAGGATAGCGTCCCCTCGCCTTCTAGGAAGGCAGCGAGTTGCTGAGACACTGAGGACAAGAGGCACGGCACACGGCCCATGTGAACCATAGGATAATCATAGAACATGGCCAACAATCCCTTCAGTTCACGACTGCTTGTGGATCGAAGGGAAAACTCAGAACTAATCTACAGAAGCACTACTTCAATGAGCGAGGAGTAAACGTATGGAACAGGCTCATTAGGGAGACAGATGGTAGAAGGAGAAAGGGTCTTTTCTTTCAAGAACAAATTAGACAGATTTCTGTTGGGCAATAATACCTCAGGATACACAGTATATAGATTGGAACAAGCCAAGTCAAGCACTGCCAGGACAGTGGAAGGTGAACTAGAAGGACATTGGTCCCTTTTCGTCCAGCAAATTCTTGTAGACTCAGTCTTCACCCCCCCCCCCCCACACTGTGGAGTCAGAAATTGGTGGGATCAAGCCCTATATTGGAACTTTACACTGAAGTCTTAGTGCATGACCTGCATCTGTTCAGGTGGATGTTAAAGATCCCATTGCAGCTCTTCAAAAAGAGCAGGGAGTTCCCCTCTCCCAGTGTCCTGGCCATCAATCCCTCAGGTAAAATTGGTCACTCTCACTCCATGGCTGTTTGAGGGATGTTGTGTGTATTATAATAATAATAATCCTCGCATCTGATATCACGTCTTCTAGACGTCTCAAAGCGCTTCACAGAGTATACTGTAAAGTGAATTGTCTGTATATTGCGTGGGCGAAACGTGGCAGCCAATTGCACACAGCAGCGTCCCACAAACAACAGATGTCAAATGCAGGGATTATTAGTATTATGATGATGATGGTGATGATGATGAAGTCCAGTGTCCTGACCTCAATCACCTCTCTGGTGATCTTGCTCCAGCTGTTGATTTCAGATGTGGACAGGTGTGCCACCACTGGCGATTTCACCCTCACTATACACACGTCTCTCGCTCACCTTACTGGGGAACTGCTGTGTGACCTGAGGTTTGTAGGTGTTGGAGGGAGGTTTCTTGCGCAGAGAGACCACCACAAAGTACTCGAAAAGCTTCTGTTCCTGCAGCTCAATCAGGTCCCGCTCTAGGGTCTGGTAACGAGTGTTACGTTTCAGGCTGGAGTGAACCTGCACCAGTCGCTGGCTGTGAGCTGCGGACACAGAGAGAGAGGTTATAATAATAATAATAATAATAATAATCCTTGCATTTGATACAGCGCCTTATCACGTCTTCAAGACGTCTCAAAGCACTTCTCAGGACATACTGTAAAATGAATCGACTGTATATTTTGTGGGCGAAACCCGGCAGCCAATTATGCACAGCAGCGTCCCGCAAACAGTCGTGAATTGAGTGATCGGATGGTAAAAAAACTTTATTTTAAACGGATTACCCCAGAAAAGCGAGCTGCCAATTGACTTACAACCGTGCTCCTACTTACTGCCCAACAACAACAACAACAAGATTACATCTGTATAGTGTCTTTCATGTCGGGAGGTCATGCCAAGGCGCTGGACAGAGTACAGCAGTTCAGACCCAACGTTTCGTCCGGCCCAGGAATTGAATCTGGGTCCTCTGGCTTGCGAGTTGAATGCTCTAACCATTACCATACACGACTGCCCAGGTTACTCTGGGGCAACCCTGGCCATACTTCCGCACTGCCCACAGCCCTCATCGCCCGCACCCTCCACACTGTCGACACCCCATGGCAGTATTTGAAAACAGATGGGAGTTTCTCTCCCCGGTGTCCTGGCCAACATTCCCCCTGATAAAAATTGATCACTCACTCCACAGCTGTTTGTGGGACACCCATTGCCTTCCAAAATTGGTTTCGCCCACAAGATACACAGTCACTCCATTTAACAGCATATTCTGTGAAGCGCTTTGAGACAGCTTGACGATGTGATAAGGCGCTATATCAAAAGCAAGTATTATTATTGTTGTTAATATACAATAGACTGGTTACCCACAACCCCCACAGAAAACACACTCCATGCCAATAATGTAAAAATATCTCAAAGCCCTTCACAGTGAATCATTGTAAAGTGTAGTGACTGTGTTTGTAGACACAGTTTACAGGGCAGCGACGTACCGGAAAACTGAGACCCTCACATCTCCTGCTTCACTTGGACATTTTATCTCAGTTTATTTAGTCTCCTGGCTTCTTTGACCAAGTGACAATTACTCACACTGTCCGGTTACCTCCCAGCTGGGTGGGGGTGGGGGCGAACAATAGGGGGCAGGAACCTTGACTCATCTCTTCCACCCCAACTGTTGCCCTGGACTAACTTGGCCTGGACTGAGATTTTAATCTGCTCCACGTGGCCCATTGCTCTCTGGCTGGTGTCGTTATCCACCATGACTAGGCCGATGGGGTTTGCTTACCAGGTTAAGGACCCAATAAGGCAGCCCAACCCGTCTCCAGGCTTTTCAGCTTTCATTGGCCGCAAGGCCGGTCCTCCAGCTTCCAAACCACACGGACCACAGCAACGAGAAGGAGGAGAGAGGGGAGGGTAAGAGGGAGGAGAGAGAGAGAGAGAGAGAGGAGGAAGAAGAGGGAGGAGAGAAAGGAGGGAGAAGAGAAAGAAGGAAGAGGGAGGAGAGAGAGAGAGAGAGGAAGATGGAGCAGAGAGAGGAAGAGAAAGATAGAGGAGATAGAGAGCAGGAGGAAGAGGGAGGAGAGAGAGGAGGAGGAAGATGGAGGAGATAGAGAGGGGGAGAAAGAGGGAGGAGAGAGAGAGGAGGAGGAAGAGGGAGGAGAGAGAGAGAGAGGAGAAGGAAGATGGAGGAGATAGAGAGGAGGAGGAAGAGGGTGGAGAGAGAGGAAGAGGAAGGAGGGAAAACCAACAGGTTTGAAAGTGAGAACAAGAGAGGCTGAAAGACGTAGAAAACAGTAAGACCATAATAAAACTGAAAGAAAAACAGTCAGAGCTAGAACCGGGACCGAGAAAAGATAGAATAACGTACAGCACTAAAGCTTGGGTCCTGCAGGGCAGGAGTTTCCAGGGACCCAACAACTGGACCAACAGACTGACTGACTGACTGCCTGATGTCTCCCCTGTTAGTCGCAGCAGCCTGAGATACTAAGATAATCTCAGAGAGGATGTCAGGATCATCTCCTGTTTGCACTCAGTGTGGATTAACTCGTTACATGGCAATCATTGCTCACAACGCATTACATACAAACGCCAAGTGTACACTGAACAGTGCAAACTGAATATACTTCCAATAGCAAATCCGGCGACACACGCCAATACACGGTCGAAGAGGAGGGTCTTGAGACAGGCCTTGAAGGAGGCAAGGGAGAGAGCGAGGTGAAGAGACTGTGGGATGGAGGGCCCTGCCGGGCGAGGGACATGGAGCAGGCCGGAGTCTGCTGAGCAGAGTGAGTAGGCGGGTTGATAAGGGGTTAGCAGGGAAGATGAGGATTTTGAACTCTATCCTCTGAGGGATGGAGAGCCAGTGGAGCCGGGCGAGGATGGGGGTGATAGGGTCACGGAGCCCGGTGCGGGAGAGGACACGAGCTGTAGAGTTCTGGATGAACTGCAGCCTGTGGAGGGAGGAGTTGGGAAGGCCGACAAGCAGGGAGTTGGCGTAGTTGAGCCTAGATGGAATGCAGGCGTGTATGAGGGTTTCAGCGGCCTGAGGGGTGAGGCAGTGGCGGTGGTCGGGCAACGTTGTGGAGGTGGTGATGCTGTCAGTGCCGGAGGTGTGGAGGCGCTGACAGGAGCTAATCAGGAGAGCCTCGGTCTTGCTGACGTAAACTGTAGAAAGTTAGCTCTCATCCAGGATTTGATGTCTGACAGACAAACAAGAGGGAGCATGTACGGGTTGAAGAGGAGCGGTTGAGGACAGAGCCCTGAGGAACACCGCACGAGACGGTGCGGGGGCTGTAGGAGAAGACGTTTGTGGAGACAAAATGGAAGTACGTTCAATATATACATTGAACTAAAGCCCCGACTGCAGAGAGAGACAGAAACATACACACACGCGCGCACTCCGCACGCAACTCACACACACGCGCGCGCACAGGCAGATTGCTTACCTTTCTGCTGTTCCTCTGTGTCACTCTCAGTCTCACTGTTCTCATCTGAAAGACAGAGGAGTAAACAGGAATGAAGTAGCCAGAATTTAACATCCAAGAAAGCCTCAAGAGATATGTGTGGACGTGACCCTCAACCTGTTAATACACAGCTAATATACAGGATCAGGGCTTAAATATATCCCCAAACTACACAGCCCCCCCCACCCCCACCCAACCCACCCCACACACTGAGGTGCTGAGAAGCTGGTACCTTTAGCCACTGTGGCCTCATGTCCAGAGGCAGACAGTGTCTTGACTTTCTTCTTCCCTCTCTTAGCATCGTACATCGCTTGTATCTTCGCCACCAGCTGAAACACAACAGCAGCCATCAGTCACCAAGGGCACAACTCCCCTCAGTTCCAGGCAGATACCAGGAACAGTCCCTCCGCCTCCCTCCTCCCCTGAATGTGTGGCCCACTCCCATCCCGTAGCTCAGAGGTTAGAGCACTCACCTCACAAGTGAAAGGACCCGGGTTTGATTCCCGGGCAGGGTGAAACGTTAGGCAAGTTTGTTTACTCCACACGCCTCTGTTTACCTAGCAGTAAGTAGGAACCTGGTTGTTAGTCAATTGGCGGATTGCTTTTCCGGGGGTAATAATCCCTTCAAAAAACTAATAATAATAATTTGATCACTCAATCCAGACTGTTTGTGGGACGCTGCTGTGCACAATCAGCTGCTGTGTTTCGCCCACAAATATGGTCAATTCACTTCACAGTATACGCTGCAAAGCACTTTGAGACATCTCGAAGACGTGATAAGGCGCTATATCAAATGCAAGGATTATTATCATTATCCACAGCCTCCTAAAAACCCCTAAATTCCACATAGTCTTAGCCTGTGACCCAATTTTGCATTAAAATTTAAGATTTCGGAAAATTCCTACAATACACTTTCACAAAGTGCAATGTTTGAAAGCGCTTCACAGCTATTAATCTGAAGCATAGTGACTGTGTATATGGAGGCAAAGGCGGTGGCCAATTTTCGCACAGCAGTGTCCCATGAAATGCCATCGAGTGAGAAATAAATTTTATTTGGGGATTGTTGACCCGGACACCAGGAGAGAGAAACTCCCTTCCTTTTTTCGAATAGTGCCATGTGATCTTTAACATCCACCTGAACAGGCAGACGGGGCCACAGTTTAATGTCTCATCGGAAGGACAAGGGACAACACAGCTCTATCCGGCATCTGAGAATTATAATAATAATCCTTGCATTTGATACAGCGCCTTATTGGGTCGTTAAGACGTCTCAAAGCACTTCACGGAATATACTGTAAAGTGGAGTGATGTGTATTTTGTGGGCGAAACTTGCGCACAGCAACGTCCCACAAACAGTTGCGAAATAGGTGACCAAATAATTTTTTTTGTTTAAAGGCCCCAATGTGGGGCTCGAATATACAAGTGTCCGACCTAGACGCAATTGCTGAACTGATGTAAATCTTGGTGGCCACCAATTCCCCAGTACAACCACAGCCGCTTCCCAGCTCCCCATAAAGTCTGATGTGTGCAGGAACCAGCAGGGCCATAGACGTCATTGCTAATTACCCCTCTGACATGAAACGTCCAGGACCCAGGCTCCACCACTGGCATTGTCATCAGTGGGCTGTGGTGGGTTGTTTTGTTATATACAGAAAAACGAGAAACGTTTCTGCAAACAGCGACCTGCTCCCTGCCAGGCCACTCAGCTCTGCATCGTTCCTGAACATCAAATCCCCCCCAAAAGAAGAATTCCCCCCGGAAGCCAATCGCGCCAGACATGGTGCCGAACTCTGCTCCCACACAATCGATTTGGGAATTCTGACGGGACTCCTTATTATCACAAAAGGAGGTCATTTTAGCCTGTTTTAGCCGTTTTATTAGATCTTCCTTTTTGACCGTACTCACAGTTACCTCACCAACCCCCACCCACCCCCAGCTCGGAGTCAGGCTCCACCACTGTTAAACGCTCTTAGACGCTACCTGTGTGGAGGACGCAAAATAAGTGCTTGTTATTGCCGGGTATTTGGGATGTTGATGTTGAGCTAACATCTGGGCCGACATTCCCAACACACATGGATTGAGTGAACAAATTTTTATTATTTTTTTAAGGGATTATTACCCCTGAAAATCGATCGCCAATCGACTAACAACCAGGTTTCTACTTACTGTTTGGTAAACAGGGACGTGTGGCGTAAGGAACATCGCCCATTTTGCCCTGCCTGGGAATCAAACCCATGTCCTCTCACTTACGAGGTGCGTGCTCTAACCACGGCTGTTTGTGGGACGTTGCAGTGTGCAAAATGGCTGCCCACAAATACACAAATCACTGCAGTTTACAGTAAATCCTATGTCGTTGTGAATAGTGTCGCCAGACGTTCCACTCACTCGCGGAATCTTCTTCCTCTTCCTCACATCTCCAGTCCCGGGATCTTCAGAGCTGACGAGCAGCGAGGGCGGGTTGGGACGGCCTGGACCCTCCTTCACATACTTCCTGATCTCCGAAACCTTCCAGCTCTTACTGTCTGCGGTCTGGGCCAGGAGGCTGGCCGGCTTGGGGGGGAGCTGGAGAGAGAGGGGGAGAGAGAAAAACAGAGATAGAGAAAAGATTAGAGAGAGAAAGAGGGAGAAAGATAGAGAAAGATTAGAGAGAGAAAGGGAGAAAGAGGGAGAGAAAGAGGGAGAAAAATAGAGAAGGATTAGAGAGAGAAAGAGGGAGAGAAAGTGAGAAACAACAACAACAAAATTACATTTGTATAGCGTCTTTCACGTCGGGTGGACGTCCCAAGGCGCTGGATAATCAATGTTTCGGACCCGAGCTCGGGGGTGGGATTAGGGAGGGTGGAGGGCAGGGGGGGAAGGAGGGTGATCGAAAGCACGGTCGAAGAGGATGGTCTTGAGACAGGTCGTGAAGGAGGCCAGGGAGGGGGTGAGGCGGAGGGCCTGCAGGATGGAGTTCCAGAGTGTGGGAGCAGAACGGCTGACAATGCTGGGGGGATGTGGCGAGGTGGGGGATGTGAAGCAGGCTGGAGGCGGCTGAGTGGAAGGAGTGGGAAGCTTACTCAGGGGTTAGGAGGTCGCAGAGGTAGGGGGGAGCAAGGCCATAGAGGGCTTTGAAGGTGAAGACCAGGATCTTGAACTGTATCCTCTGTGTGATGGGGAGCAGGTGGAGTTGGACGAGGATGGGGGTGAGAGAACACGGGCTGCAGAGTTCTGGATGATCTGCAGCCTGTGGAGGGAGGAGTTGGGGAGGCCGACAAGCAGTGAGTTTGCATGTAATGAAGGGTATGAGGGTTTCGGTGGCCTGCGGTGTGAGACAGTGGTGGAGCCGAACGAATGTTGCGGAGGTGGGAGAAGGCGGGGAAGATCATAGCACGGATGTGGGCTATAAGAACAGTTGAGGGTCAAACAGGATGCTGAGGTTCCGTATTGGCTCCGTGAGGTGTAGAGTGCATCCATGGAAGGAGAAGCTGTCAGTGCCCGAGGTATGGAGGCGCTGACGGGAGCCAATCAGGAGCCTCGGTCTTGTTGACATTCAACTGCACAAAGTTCGCTCTCATCCAGGACTTGATGTCTGACAGATGGTCAGTGACGACAGCAGTGGGTCCTGGCGTCGAGGGTGGAGGCAGAGAGGTCGAGTTAGGTGTCACGTCTCTGTTGACCCCATGTCTCTGGGTGATGTCACCAAGACGGAGTATATAGATATTGAAAACACGCACACGTGTGGGGAAGGGGCGAGAGCGGGTGGGGGAGACCAAGATGTGAACCCTACCTTCGGGGGTCTCCTGGGTCGCGCCGCTGGTGAACCCCAAACTCTTTTCCCTCTGGCGAGGAGCGAGGGGGTGAATTTGACGTCTTCGTATGGGTTCTCCTTGGAAGGATCTGGAAGCGAAAAGGTGGAGAGAGAGTCATTGAGGGTCAGCACTGGGCAGGCGGGCGGGGGGGGGGCAGGCGAGGAGAGGGTGGGAGAGACTGACCAATGGTGCCAGTCTGGCCAAACAATGACCACAAACAGCTATTAGTAAGTGATCATGGTGGTGGGGAGGGGATTATTACCCCCAGAAAGCGATCCACCAATCGACTAACAACTGGGTTCCTACTTACTGCTGGTCAACAGTGGCGTGTGGAGTAAGGAAACTCGCCCAAGTTTTCGCCCTGCCCGGGAATCAAACCCGGATCCTCTGGTTTCCGAAGTGAGCGCTCTAACTATTGAGCTATGGGACTCCACGCAAGCGAAGGAGGGAAGGGAGGGGTTGTTCTTACCCACAATATCCTCATAGATGTTCTCATCAGACACGGTGTGGGAGAGCACCTGCTTTGGCTTCTCGGTCCCCTCTCGGCTCCGCTCACTTGCCGCTGGAGTCTGCAGGATGTGCAAACCCTCGGCGTCCTCAAACTCAAAGGATTTTCTGTTAGGAAAGAGGTTGAGTTTATATCGGCCGAGATGTCTCAACGCTTGTCAGGCGGCACTTATTTCCTCTGGTGGGGAATCCAGAACAAGGGGCATCATCTTAAAATTAGAGCCGGGCCATTTAGGAGTGAAATCAGGGGCAGTGGGAATCTGGAACTCTCTCCCCGGAAAGGCTGTGGATTATGGTTGGATCCATTCACATTTTCAAGACTGCTGTGGTTAGATGTTTGTTAGGTGTAGGGGATCGAGGGATAATAGGCCAAGGTATTTGGAGTTGAGGTACAGATCAGCCATGATCTTATAGTATAGCGGAACAGGCTCGAGGGGCTGAATGGCACAGGCCCAAGATTTCAGGAAATCTGTGCAAGACGCATTTAGATAACAATAGTCGTCACATTTGATACCAGGACCAGGACATCACAATAACATCTCAGAAGATTTCATAGGGTTTTGCTTTCATGTGCAGTGTAATTGGAAGCCAACCCAGCAGCCACCACTCCACCACCCACTCCCACCCCTTCCCCTGCTCCCAGCCCCCACCCCTTCCCCACTCCAAGCCCTCCCCTTCTCCCAGCCCCTCCCCTGCTCCCAGCCCCTACCCCTCCCCCAGCCCCCGGCCCTCCCTTGCTCCCAGCCCCGCCCCCTGCTCCCTGCCCCTCCCACCTCGGACCCTGTACCTGTTGCTCCTCACTATCTGTGTCCCATTGCCGAGCTGCCTGAGTGCAGGGGGTGGGCTGAGCAGCAGCGGGGGAGGGGAGTGTGTGGTCGGCCCCTTTCCTTTTCCCGAGGGGGGAGCGGGAGTGGGAGTGCTCCCGGAATCCTGCTCTCCAGAGTACTTAAAGGTCCGTTGGGGTTTGGGCAGGGGATTAATGTTAATCACGGGGGCTTCCTTCGTCCCTTCCGAATCAGTGAACACGCTGTCTCGAGGGTCTCTCAGGATCACGGCGCTGCCTCCAGGACGACTCGACTCCAGCCTCTCGCTGGGACCCCCCGGCTCCGTGGCCCCCAACTCCTTCCTCTCGTCCTGTGGGACGTCCTCCAGCTTCTTCCAGAAGTTCTGCGAGGTGTAAAAGTTGCCGGGAGGCAGCAGCTTGCTATCGCCCGAGCTGCCCGGAGCCAACGTCTCCAGTTTGTTGACTTGAGGGAGAACCGAGGAGCTTCCCAAACCCCCCACCTTCTGGGCTCTGGAATTAGCAGCCGCCCTGTTTCTCTCAGCACCATGCTTGATGTTTGGGTCAGTCGCCTTCTGTCCTTCCCTGAAATCTAGCCCCAGGCTCCTGGCCTTCACCAGGGCTCGTTTCCTCGGGCCGGGACTCTGTGTCTTGGCCTTGGAGATAAACGCACATCCATACTCCACTTGCAAACCACCTTCTCCAGACTTGGCTTTGTCCGTGTTGCTCACGCTGGACTTCACCTCCCACTGTGAGATTTTTTGCCGGATGTTGAGGCCCTGGTTCCTGAGCCGGGCTTGGTCAGCAAAGTGGTGTGCACTGCCCGGCGAGTGCATCTCTTGCAGTCTTTGCTTCACGACACAGCCATTGGGAGCCACCTGCCCCCTGGCCCCCGCTCTGTGTCCAGGCAGCAGCACCTCATTCAGCTTAGCCCCGGCCCAGCCTGTTCCTCCCGCTCCATCTGCCTTCACGTTAAGCAGTGCGGCCTTGACATGCAAGGCTCTGCCCCTCTCCAGCTCCCTTCCTGGAGACCACTTGCTCGTTCGGTGACCTTGGCCACTAGAATTGCGAGTTGCCGCCTGGCTCAGGCTCTCCTCAATGTTATTCACAATATTTCGGACCCTGACAACAATAAAAAATACACACAACAATGTTAAGAGCCCAATTGAATGCTGTATTAAAAAAATTGGTCACTCAATGCACAACTGTTTGTGAGACGCTGCTGTTATGCAAACAAAATATACAGTCACTATACTTTACATTATATCCTGTGAAGCGCTTTGAGAAGTCTTGAAGAGGTAATAAGGCGTGATATCAAATGCAAGGCTTATTATTATTACTATTATTAACTGGGACAGACGCAAGCAAATCTGAGCAGTGAAAATTGGCAGCTCAGGGTCGATGGGGGATGAGGGTTTGGCAGCAAAATGGGAGGTGAGTGCCAAGAGATGACATTTTTTCACACAATAACCAGCACTCTCTAGGCTTGTGATTCCGGCCCACAGCACTGTGGAGTTCAAGAGACCTGGAGCCACATTAAATACACAGACCATCTGCACAGGCCCGAGGGCGTTTAACAACCCACAAACGCTAGGCTTTTTTTTTGCAAACTGATGAACAACCATTTTTTGGGGGGCGAATGTCAAAAAATGGTGAAAAAACAATTTTCTCTTGAATTTGATCTGACTCTTTCTTTCTTTCTTTCTTTCTTTCTTTCTTTTTCTTTCTTTCTTTCTTTCTTTCTTTCTTTCTTTCTTTCTTTCTTTCTTTCTTTCTTTCTTTCTTTCTTTCTTTCTTTCTTTCTTTCTTTCTCTTTCTTTCTTTCTTTCTTTCCTTTCTTTCTTTCTTTCTTTCTGTCTGTCTGTCTGTCTGTCTGTCTGTCTGTCTGTCTGTCTGTCTGTCTTTCTTTCTTTCTTTCTTTCTTTCTTTCTTTCTTTCTGTCTGTCTATCTGTCTCTCACTCTCTTTCTCTCTCTGTCTCGAGGGGGGTGGGGGGAGGCGATGAGTAACAGCCCAGCAATTGTATTGCAAAATTACAAAGTTTGTACAGCATGGAAAGTAAGAGTGAGAAAGAATGAGACAGAGAGAGAGGGAAGGAATGAGAGGGAGAAGGGGAGAAGGAGTGACAGAAAGAGAGGGTGAGATAGACAGTAGCAGAAAGTGAAAGAGAGGCAGAGAGAGAGAGAAAGAAAGGCAGACAGGAATAAAACGGCTGTCGGGTAGTGTTTTAGTTAGCTCTGTACCAATGTGTATATTGTGTGATATCCAAATATATGTATTGTCTGTTGATCTGCATAGGAGTCGGTCAGAATTAGAGCTGTGCGTCAGCCTGGCGCAGTGGTAGCGCTCTCGCATCTGAGTCAGAAGATTGTGGGTTTAAGCCCCACGTCAGGACTTGGAATTACACAGTCTGGGCTAACGCTCCAAAGCAGGGCTGGGGGTGGGGGGGGGGGGAGTTGTTGCATTGTCGGAGGTGCCGTCCTTTGGATGAGACATTAAATCGCGGTCCCGTCTGTCTGTTCAGGTGGACATCAAAGATCCCATGGCGCTATTCGAAAACAAAAGGTTTCTCTGTCCCGGTGTCCTAGTCAACAATCCCCCAAATAAAACTGGTCCTTCACGCCATGGCTGTTTGTGGGACATTGCCTTGACAAATTAGCGCAGAAATACACAGACACTGCACTTCACTGTACATCCTGTGAAGCGCTTTGGTTCGTGCTCCCAACATGAGAGGCAGTTTACCAAATACAACTAATATTATTATTATTATCGTTGTTTTCCACGGTATCAATTATTGTTTATCAGTAAAACCACTGTTTTATTAGTATTTGCCATGAAGTTTGTCAAAGTTTTCCTGATTTTCTGGACACAAATAATAGGCAGCGCGGCTCAGTCAGTAGCACTTTCGATCCCTGAGGCAGAAGCTTGCTGATTCCGACCCATTTGATATAGCGCCTTATTATGTCTTTGAGACGTCTCAAAGCGCTTCACAGTTACGTGAATTCACTGTATATTTTGTGGGTGAAACATGGCAGCCAACTGCAAACAGCAGTGTCCCACAAACAGTTATGGATTGAGTTACCAAGTTACTTTTTTTAAGGGATTATTATCTCCAGAAAAGTGATCCGCCAATTGACTAACAACTGGGTTCCTACTTACTGCTAGTTAAACAGAGGCGCGTGGGGTAAGGAAACTTGCCCAACATTTTGTCCCTTCTCGGGAATTGAAATCAGGTTCTCTTGTTTGCGAGGCGAGTGCTCTAACCAATACATTACAGGACTCCACAGGGCTGCAAGGTTGTAATGTCAGAGGTGCTGCCCTTTGAAAGAGATATTGACCAAGTTCCCATTGCCTGTTCAGGAGGATGTTAAAGATTCCGCTGCACTATTCAAAAAGAGAAGGGAGTTTCTCTCTCCTGGTGTCGGGGCCAATAATCCCCCAGATAAAATTGGTCACTCACTCCACGGCTGTTTGTGGGGCAATATTAAGTGCAAATTGGCTGTCGTGTTCACCTACAAAATACACAGTCATTGCATTTTATACTAAATCCAATTAGACGTCCTCTCGATATGAAAGACGCGACATCAAATTTTACAGCAATTGTTGAAAAAAGCTCAGCTCAAAAAACATTAGCCCAACCTTGCAGTGGTCGGACCTTGCAGTGGTCGGAGTATGTAAGAAATGTTCCCCAGTGTGGGGGTGGGGTGGGGGGAACACCAAACCACAGGCCAGTGACAGTACTGAAAGAAAGCACTGTGTGAGTCCATGTCGCACTGACACAAAAGAGTTTAATAAATGTCAGAATGTGGACATCTGAATGGATAGAAATTCAGGAACATTCTTAACGTTCCAAATCCACTCTCGCTCCTCGAGGTGTCAGGGGATCAATGACCACCAGCCCGGCAACATCAGACTGCCAGACACACACTGTGAGACACACACACACATATACAGACAACAACAACAAAATTACATTTATAGAGCACCTTTCACATCAGGGGGAGAACGATCCAAGGCGCTGTACAATCAGGGGTCCCCAAGTATAGGGGAGGGGTGGGGTAGCGGTGAGCGAAGGCAGAGAGGTTGGAGGGCAACCAAAGGCATAATCGAAGAGGAGGGTCTTGAGACCGGCCTTGAAGTAGGCGAGGGAGGAAGCGAGGTGAAGGGACTGTGGGATGGAGTTCCAGAGTGTGGGGGCAGAGAGGATGAAAGCCCGGCCACCGATGGTAGAGTGGGTCGGGTGGGAGATATGGAGCAGGCCAGAGCCCGCTGAATGGAGGGAGTGGGCAGATTGGTAGGGAGTGAAGGAAAAGGAAGAGTTGGGAAGGCCGATGAGGAGGGAGTTCCTGTAATCGAGCCTTGATGTGTGGGTGAGGGTTTGGGAGCCTGAGGGGTGAGGCAGTGACGGAGTCTGGCAATATTGCGCAGGTGGTGGTAGGCAGTGCGGTCATGGCGCGGATGTGGGGGAGAAAGGACAGTTCAGGGTCGAACAAGACATCCAGGTTCCTGACCGGCTTAGTGAGGTTGAGTGTGCAGCTGATGCTGAGAGCGGAGGCACTGGCGTGAGCCAATCAGGAGGGCCTCGGTCTTGCTGACGTTGAGATAGAGAAAGTTGTCCCTCGTCCAGGACTTGATGTCGGACAGGCAGTCGGTCAGGACGCCAGTAATCCTGGAGTTGAGAGTGGAGGCAGAGAGATAGAGTTGGGTGTCATCCGCATACATGTGGAAATTTACCCCATGTCTGTGGATGATGTCACCAAGGGGGAGCATGTAGAGGGTGAAGAGGAGGGGACCGAGGACAGAGCCCTGAGGAACACCGCACAAGACGGTGCGGGGACTGGAGGACAAGCCGTTAGCTGAGACGAAGTGGAGGCGGTGTGAAAGGTAGGACCTGACACACACATACACAGGGGAGACACACAGCCTTCTCCCCACCCCCAGGGGCCCTCCCTCACTTCACTCAGAGTGAATGCAGAATGAGGTTCACCACTGAAGCTAAAACTAATGTATTACAAAGTAATAATGATCAGGCCTTGGCACCAGTACCTAATGTTCAAATAGCTCAAACAGTTTAACTCTGTGGTTAGTGTTTGGTCAGCCGGGTGTCTGACAACCCGCGGTTAAGAGTATTCAAACCGGACAGAGTTCCACATACATATGTCATCAACACAAAGAAATTACCCCATGTCAGGAATGGAATGCGCTCTCTCTCCCTGGAGGGAAGCAGCTGCTTACCCAACTCCAGAGAGTATTGGGCACAGGTTGAGCCAAGACTTGGGGACCCCAGAGTGTGTGGGGTGGGGGGGGTGGGTGGAGGAGTCCTATACTGGGGGAGGGCGGGGAGTCCCACGCTGTGGGTGTGGGGGGGAGGGTGAGGGGAGTCCCATGCTGTGGGTGTGGGGGGGAGGGTGAGGGGACTCCCACGCTGGGGGGGACGGGGTGAGAGGAGTCCCACGTTGGCGGGGGAATTCCACACTAAGGGAGGTACGAGGAGCGTGACTCTGACCTGCCGGACGCTGTGGGTTTAAAGGGCCAGTCAGCAGTGGTCGGAAGCCCCGCCCAGCCGTCACTCATAACTCCAGGTGCAGCCACACCAGGTGCTCACCTAAAACATAAAGACAGGAAGGGAGCGGGTCAGAGAGACTACGGACATAGCAGCCAAACCCACCCCACATGGGGGCAGGACAGCAGCAGCCAGTGAGACTCAATATAATAATACATTAGAATATACAGCACAGAAACAGGCCATTCGGCCCAGCTGGTCTATGCCGGTGTTTATGCTGCACATGAGCCTCCTCCTGCCCTTCCTCCACTAAGTCATCAAGCATAACCTTCTATTCCTTCCTCCCTCATGTATCTATCCAGCTTTCCCTTAAATGCTATTTGCCTCAACAACTCCTTGTTCCACATCTCTCTATGTGAACAAATTTCTTCTAACTTCCCTATTTGATCTATTTGGGACCATTTTATATAGATAATAATAGTAATAATAATACTACTAATAATAGTAATAATAACAATCATCCTTGCATTTGAAATAGCGGCTCAATATATATTCCCCCACATGGTCATCAGGCACGAGTGACTATTTTGTAGAACAATAATTTTTACATTCGATATGTTGCTTTATTACGTCCTTAAGGTGTCTCAAACCGCTTCACAAGGCATACTGTAACATGGCTTGATTGTGTATTTGTGGGCAAAACTCGGCAGCCAGTTGTGCACAGCGGTGGCCCGCAAACAGCCAGTGAGTAAGTGACCAAGTTTTATTTGGGGGGATTGTTGGCCAAGATACCGGCAGAGAAAGGGAGAGAGAAACTCCCTTCTCTTCGAATCTTTAACGTCCACCTGAACACGTCTTTATCGTCCACGCAAATGCGATCTCAGTTTAACATTTCATCCGAATGACGGCACAGCTGACAATGCAACACATCCCCCAGCGCTGCATTGGAATGTCAGTTTAGACCATGTGTGGTTCCAAGTCCCAACGTGGGGCTTGAACTATAACCTTCTGACTCAGAGGCGAGAACGCAACTGCATTGAGCAGTTTTCTGACGAGCGTGAAATCAAGACGTTCTCCTCGGAGAGAGGCTGCCGGTACAGCACAGCAACAGGGCTCAAAGGAGTTACTGTGTAGTGCAATCACTGTGTATTCTGTCGTCAGATGTGGCAGCCAATGTGTGCACAGCACTGACCCTCAGCCATGACGCAAATAACGAATTTTGCTGGAGGATTTCGCCCCTCTCTTTGTCAATAATGTAAAGGGACCTTTACATCCACCCCAACAGGCACAAATGGAACTTCGGTTTATCGTCTTATCCGAAGAATGGTGCCTCTAACAATACAGCGCTCTCCAAAAATACAGCGCTCTCCAAACACCATGAGTCTGTAGTTTAGTGGTTAAAGCACTCGCCTCGCAAGCGAGAGGACCTGGGTTTGATTCCCGCACAGGGCGAAACATTGGGCAAGTTTCTCTGTTTACCCAGCAGTAACTAGGAACCAGATTGTTAGTCGATTGGCAGATCACTTTTCTGGGGGTAATAATCCCTTGAAAAAAATGAAAAAAAATTTGGTTGAAGACATAATAAGGTTCTATAACAACTGCAAGGATTACTATTATTATTATTACAAACGAGTGTTAGCCTGGTTAGTGTTAGTCTTGAACCCACAACCTTCTGACCCACAGGCGAGAGAGTTCATACAGATACAGAATGAGAGGCTCTGCCTCCTGCCCTCTGCTCTGCTCTCAGCCTCCAGTCCACCTGGCGCTAAGGACCAAGCTTCTGCGAAAGAGCCATCAAATGGTCACAGAAAGTTCTGGAACGTTGCCTTAAATTCTGGTCGCAAAACTCTCTGTTTGGCCATTGCCAGACTCCGCCACTGCCTCACCCCTCAGGCTGCGGAAACCCTCACCCACACCTTCATCACCTCAAGGCTCAATTATGGAAACTCCCTCCTCATCGGCCTTCCCAACTCTTCCCTTCACAAACTGCAGATCATCCAAAACTCTGCAGCTCATGTACTCTCACACACCAGTGACCCCATCACTCCCACCCTCGCCCGACCCCATCACTCCCACCCTCGCCCGACCCCATCACTCCCGCCCTCGCCCGACCCCATCACTCCCACCCTCGCCCGACCCCATCACTCCCGCCCTCGCCCGACCCCATCACTCCCGCCCTCGCCCGACCCCATCACTCCCGCCCTCGCCCGACCCCATCACTCCCGCCCTCGCCCGACCCCATCACTCCCGCCCTCGCCCGACCCATCACTCCCGCCCTCGCCCGACCCATCACTCCCGCCCTCGCCCGACTCCATCACTCCCACCCTCGCCCGACTCCATCACTCCTGCCCTCGCCCGACCCCATCACTCCCACCCTCGCCCGACTCCACTGACTCCCCATCCCCCAGAAATCAAATTAAAGATCCTTGTCCTCACTTTCAAGGCCATCCATGGCCTCGTCCCCTCCTACCTCTCTGACCTGCTGACCCCCTACTAACCTGCCCGCTCCCTCTGTTCAGCGGGCTCCGGTCTGCTCCATGTCTCCCGCCCGACCTGTTCTACCATCGGTGGCCGAGGCTTTCAGCCTCTCTGCCCCCACACTCTGGAACTCCATCCCACGGTCCCTTGGCCTAGTTTCCTCTCTTGCCTTCTTCAAGGCCGGTCTTAAGACCCTCCTCTTCGATCGTGCCTTTGGTCGCCCTCCCACCTCTCTGCCTTCCCTCACCCCTACACCACCCCTCCCCCATGCTCGGGCCCTGACCCCTGACTGTCCAGTGCCTTGGGATGTCCTCCCAACGTAAAAGGCGCTCTATAAATGTAATTTTGATGTTGTTGTCACAGGATGAGTATGTTCACGAGGCCTGGGACCCAGAGCAGTGAGAGACACTTCTTACTGCCTGAGCTCAACATGGCTTTAAATTCCCCCGCATTGCCCCCACCTTTCCCTTCCACTCCCCCACCCCCTGGCACTGACACCCCCTCCCCTGGGCATGTGGTGGGAGGTGGGAGTGGGGTCGCTGATCTGGTAAAACAGGTGGTCCTGAGTGGGGAAGGGCAAACCTAAACTGTGATCTGCCGCATTATCTGTGGAGTGGGTGGTGGGGGGGTGGATGGGAAGAGAAGGTTGAAGGCAAACAGTTAGTTTGATTGTGTATTTTGTGGGCGAGACTTGGCAGTCAGTTGCGCACAGCGATGTTCCACAAACAGCCATTGAGTGAGTGACCAATGTTATTTGGGGGGATTGTCGGCCAGGACACAGTGAGAGAGAAACTCCCTTCTCTTTTCCAATAGCGTGGCGGGATCTTTAATGTCCACCTGAACAGTTTAATGTCTCTCTCTCTCTCTCTCTCACTCCTCGTCAATCAGCTGCTTAAAGAAAGACAAATTTCCATGTTGCGGATTCTGGACAGTGCCACACATTAACACAAAATGGTCCCGTAGGCTAAGACTGGGTGGAATTTCGGCCTGAATTGCCTCAGGGCCTGAGTCTGCGCTCATTCCCGTTCCCACCGCGGGGCTCCCAGCTTCCTGCACCAGGAAACAGGACAAGAAAAGCACGGAGCGGCTGACAGGAAGGAGCTGGAGGTGAAGATAATCATAATCTCTGACCCTCGCAGTTACAGTGTCAGAGATGCAGCAATGTCTGCCTGGAACTCACCCCCCATTCCCCCCTCCCCCACAACCACCCCTCAAACCCCATCCTTCCCCACGCTCCCCCCCCCACTCCCCCACAACCACCCCTCAAACCCCATCCTTCCCACGCTCCCCCCCACTCCCCCCTAACCACCCCTCAAACCCCATCCTTCCCCACGCTCCCCCCCCACTCCCCCCTAACCACCCCTCAAACCCCATCCTTTCCCACGCTCCCCCCCCACTCCCCCTAACCACCCCTCAAACCCCATCCTTCCCCACGCTCCCCCCCCCACTCCCCCTAACCACCCCTCAAACCCATCCTTCCCCACGCTACCCCTCCCCCACAACCACCCCTCAAACCCATCCTTCCCCACGCTCCCCCCCCACTCCCCCCTAACCACCCCTCAAACCCCATCCTTCCCCACACTCCCCCCCATCCCCCCTCCCCCACAACCACCCTCGAACCCCATCCTTCCCCACGCTCACCCCATCCCCCCTCCCCCACAACCACCCCTCAAACCCCATCCTTCTCCACGCTCCCCCCTCCCCCACAAACACCCCTCAAACCCCATCCTTCTCCACGCTCCCCCCTCCCCAACAACCACCACTCAAACCCCATCCTCTCCCACGCTCACCCCCCCCACCCCCTACTGACCCCTCCCACCCATCCTCCCCACAGAGGCACTGAGCACACACAATCACACCATCGTTTCTGCAATAAACCTGAGAGAGACAAATTTAAAGCCTCTCCTCATGAATCAATGCTCGATTGTGAACCATTGACAGCCCCCATCGACCTTCCGCCCTCCCTCCCCCCACTCCCCCCGTGTTAAGTGATGGCTGACTCAATTTGGAAGCATTCCCAACCCCCGTGGTCCCAGAGGCTCAAAGTCATCGTGGTCTCAGGCCTTAGATCATCGTCTAAAATGGCTTCTAGACTGAATTCAAGAATTTTAAAATCACAGTGGCCCCTCTGCTGGGACGTGAAGCAGACGGTGGTGTGGGGTGGGGTGGGGGGGAGAGGTGGGGGAATAAAATTTAGCCAGTTTCCCCCTTCCCGCCGCCCACAAGATTACTCCCACCCATGGATGTGAGTGGAGGTGGAGAGAAGCCAATGGTTGGCAAAGTTCCCAGCACAAGTCAGTGTCTTCAGGAAAGGGGGAGGCGGGGAGTGGGGGGAGAAAGAGACAAACTCATCCACATCTGTTCATCCACTTTGCACTTTCCAAACCCTGGAACAATTGGGAAAAATAGTTGGCAGTAAATTGCGTTAAAACTTGATGTGGAGGCTCTGAGGCTCACATTCCTCACATTCCAGCAGCTCGACAAATACACATTCATATTGTATTGGGGGCTGGGGCTGGGGGGGTGTTGGGGGAGTGGGGGGAGGGTGGGGCTAGAGAGGGCTGGGCTGGGGCTGGGGGGGGCTAGGGCTGGGGGGTGTTGGGGGAGTGGGGGGGAAGGGTGGG